GGAGAGAGGGTGGTTGCGAGCTCTTCTTTTCTTTGCAAACAACTGAGCTCTTCTTTGCCTAGTGGAGAATCGAACTCTTCTTTAGTCAACCAACGAAGCGAGATCTTCTTTCCTTTGCAGAAGAATGAGAGATGCCTCTGACATTCGACATGGAGGAATGTTGGACAGATGGTGAATACGCGTTACGTGCACATACATGTACCATAGTGAGCTGGATTATTTCCCAACAGTGAGGGCCATACGTCTCCACGGCATCGAGACACCGAGTCGAACAGAGATTTTGCAGGAGCTGTTTCTACAAGACAAAAAAATGAAGTGAAAAATGAATTGTGTCAAGAAGACAGAGACACTATGACTGAGACATTATTCAACTCCCTTTTCCCAGTCCACCAGGTTTCTCCTCCTGCTGATTCTGTGTTTCTGTTTTTTCTTCCTCTCTCATGCGCTGCTGCCTTTCGATGAGCCGTGGATGTGTGTGTAGGAGGTAACCGAGAAAGGTGAGTTTTCTTTGCTAGTGATGCCAAAGTGAAATCTGATTCGAGTCGACCCCAGCAAACTGCACCAGGTCGTCAAGGATGAATGGCTGACCTCAACCGACGCTTCAAAGTATCCTGATCCCACGTCTCTACCACCTCATCGTCTTTGTCTCGAGAGTGCAGGCAACTGTTGATTCACCTTGCGTGCTCTTCGAACGGATGTATGTCAGATATCGGAGGTCGCCGCCCACGGACATATCCCGACAAGGCCCTTAGTCAATTGTAACGCCAGGAGGGTGTACCCAGGCCTCTGAAAGCTGCTGCCTAAGGCAAGGCATCATCATTACAGTTATTAGGCCGTCGAGGAATATAAAAGAGAGAGAGAGAAATATGGTACTGTCGCCCAGCTAGCGGCCCGTGGTTCAGAAGAAGAGTTGGTACGGCAAAAGCAATCATGTCGACCACATCGCTAGTCGAGCAGCAGCAGCAGCCGCCGCAGGAGGAGCCAGGTTTCGTGAAGCTGGAGCTTCGAACTGCTTACGGGCCCGTCTATCGTAACGTGTCGACGAACCCGCCGCGAGATGCCCGGCCGGACGAGATCCCGTTGATCGATCTCAGCCCCATCTACGGCGACTTCAAAGCACGCAAGGCTCTCGCCCAGACCATCAAGCACGCGGCCGAGAACACGGGCTTCTTCTACATCCGCAACCACGGCATCCCTGAATCCACGGTCGACGCTGCACTAAACGCAGCGAAGACCTTCTTCGCACAACCCGAGGACAAGAAGATGTTGGTGTCCAAGTCCCTGGGGAAGTGGTACAATGGCTATTCAGGGAAGATGACGGCCATGGCCAGTCCCACGGAAGGATGTGAGTTGTCGTGCCCCTTTTCTCACTTCATTGGAGGCCGAGACTTTTGCTCCTGTTAAATGATTTCATGATCTTCGTTTTGACTGGAGCATACACAGTGGACTACCGTGAATCCTTCTCGTGGAGATATGAGCCGCAATACGACCCGGACCCGAAGGACCCTGACGCCGTCCCGCCAGAAGTCCAGCCGTACATCCGCGGCGAGAACTACGTCTGGGAGGGCACCGACCACCTGCCCGGGTTCAAGAGGGACTGCATCGCCTACTGGCAGGAATGCCTCAAGCTGGCGCGGCGGCTGGTCCGCATTTTCGCCCTCTGCCTCGACCTGCCCGAGGACTACTTTGACGCTGTGACGACGTACCCGGGCAGCGACGGCGTCTTCAACTACTACCCCCCGACCATGTCGTCGGCCGAGAAGAAGGACGCCGCCGAGAGCCAGGACGTCGGCCTCGGCTCCCACACCGACCTCCAGTGCTTCACGCTGCTGTGGCAGGACATGAACGGCGGTTTGCAGGTGCTCGGCCGCGACGGCCAGTGGATCAAGGCGACACCCGTGAAAGGCACCTTTGTCGTCAACATCGGTGACTATCTGATGCGCTTGACCAACGATCGCATGAAGTCGACCGTGCACAGAGTCTACAACCGATCCACGATCGACAGGTACCTCTCTCTTCCTCCCACCTTTCCTTCTCCTTCTCCTTCTTCTTCTCCTTCTTCTTCTCCTTCTTCTTCTTCTTGTCATTCTATTCTTTCGTTCTGCTAGCTTGGATGGATGCATTATGTTCTTTCCTTCCTTCCTTCCTTCCTATCTTGGTTCTCTCTCACTGTTCTGACCCTATTTCTTTCTATAAGATATTCGATGCCCTTCTTCTTCGGCTTCAATTTCAACGAAAAGTGCGGCGTCCTGCCTAGCTGCGTCGACGAGGACAACCCCCCGAAGTACGAACCCATCTCGTGTGGCGACTGGTGCCAATTGAGATTTCAGCAGGGCGACATGGATAAGGATAAGGACAAGAAGGTGGCTGCTGTGTACTGAGTGAGCGAGATGAGATGAGATGAGATGACACGTCGAATGCGCTGCTAAGTAAGGATGATGGATCCACAGCCCACAAAGAACTGAAAAGGGAGGTAGGTTACCGGGAAACATAACTTCTCTTGACAAGTAAGTATAACATTGAAAACTTGTCTTAAGATACTTTTTTTTTAACAAGCATGGCACATGGACTCGGGGCAAAGAGAGAACTTCTCAGTCCCGTCCTTGTCGCTAGGATTCCAGCCAACTTTGTCCTGTCCCCTATTTGAGCCCTTCTGGAGCCTTGCCGTTGGCCTCACCAATATCCAGTGCCACCAAAAACCGGCTGACCATGTTGTAACTCGCAACCGTAGCCGTAATCTCAACTATCTCCTGGTTACTGAAACCTGCGGCCTTGACTTCGTCAAACAGGCTCTGGGGGACAGTGACCTCTCGAGTCATGGCGTCCGCATATCTCAAGACGGCCCATTGACGGTCATCGAGCGCTCCCTTGGAGGTCGGGTGCAGTTGTTTCACCACCGACAATTTCTCTTCCGAAAAGCCAGGAGATTTCAAGAGGATTGGGGCATGAGCATTCCATTCGAACCAGGCACGGTTGATCAAGGCAGGACGGCAGATGGCGATCTCGCGGATGTCGTCTGGTAACGAGTTCTTTGTCCGCACCGCGCCGAGGAGGGCGTTCCACCCTGGTAAACTGGTCAGCCTAGAACACTCTGATCAAGAGGCCGGTGACAACAAACCATCTGCGATCTTGGGAGCATGCAAAAGAGTCAAATCCAGCGAAATGAGGCCCATGGCACCCCGGCGTGCTTTGACCCGCTCCAGCACCTCTTGGTCCTCTGGGGAGAGGTTTGTTGGAGGGTTGGGTACATAGTCGAGACGCATGTTGTCTAGAAAATTGAGATTCTCCTTACCGATAGATTTGGGTCTTGTAAAGAAGAGCGGTTAGTTTCTTAAGAATCAAAGTGTCTCCCACTCAAGCAGATTGCGAATATGAAGACTCTTCCATTGATCAATACTCCGAACACAAGTACCCCGCCACCACCGCAGACGACGGTACCCGAGCTTGACCGTGTGCGGGGAGGAATATTGGCTGTCATTTAGTTTCTCCAACGGGGGAACAGCCGCACTTCAGTGGGGTTATTTGGGAGCAACGGCTCGAGCGTGATGGTGGTGTTGGAGTTACCAGTGAACTCTGGATATTGCTCTTCCAGGGCTCATATTCGATTCTCCCGGTGTGACGTGAGGCCGTGTAGTTTGACAGTTATCCATCAGGGATAGTGAACGAGGAGATCAGCGTGGGTAGGTAGGTGGTAGAAAATCGATCAGGCTGCGCAGACTGTGACTTGGATGGCAAGTTTCTAGGGTGCCAGTCAGTGTCTGCGGTGGTTGATGCTGTGGGAATTGTCAGCAGCCCGGCTTCCCGCCGCGCTTTTTGTCCCCAGCGTCGCCCACCTTCAGTGGACAAATAGCAGTTCAACCCAGGCTCTTATTCTCATCTTTCTCTTCTCACGGGGTTTCCAATCTCACTTTTATAATGACTGAAGCTCTGGCAAACGTCGTACAAGCAGGTTTCCGGCGGTGATCCCCGAAGTTGGCCAGCGTGAGACAATAGCAGGTAAGTCCTCGAGCGAATCCAAACATTCTTGATGGCGGTTTAAGCTAGCCAAGTGAACTGGGATCAAGAGCTTGGTGTGTCTATTCGATTTGTCCTGAAGCAAGCCGGCCTGCAGAACCTTGGGAAGACGGAACGTATGGCTACGGCATCGGCCAAAGAAAAGACTTGAAACACTCCGAATCAGCTTATCTTGTTTGAAAAAGGAAGGACTGTGGTGACCGTTGAAACCGAGGGCAAGCAATGCGCAGATCGGAAGATCAAAAGTGCACAAGTTGGCGCGCCCTGTGAGGCGCAGTTGATTTTCCCCGAGTCCGCCGCAGCCTAAGCTTCGAAGCGCTATACAACTTCTCATTTGCCCAGTAGCGACTTGATCCGTGCGACCGCGCACGACACTCGATGACAACCGAAAACTAACCACCATCCCAACGAACTACTTCGCTTCCGGGAGATGCCTGAATTATTGCTAAACATCAAGACTTGATCACTTATCCAGCCAAGCTAAAGTTTTGGCACCTCCTGACTCGAAGAGTGCGAACTTGATCGTCCAATCCTCCACCCTCACCTCATCTTGTCCCTGGGTGCGCCATCACGAGACAAGGCCAAACACCCTCCCCCATCTTACCGTCTTGAGCCATCTCACTCTCCAAGCCATCGCTCTTGCGTCACGTCGGATTGTCCACTCACTGCATCGCTCCTCACTCGTCCTCCTTGAATTGTTATCACCTCGGAAGACCCTATCACCCCCTCCCCTCCCGCCCGTTCCTATCGAACCGGACAGAAAGATCGTGCCTACCTACGAACCCAACTGCTTTGCGCCTACTTAAGCTCGTCCCTCCCCAGACCCAAATCTTCGTCAGCCCATATGCCTGGAATTCGTATGTGTCTCTTCTGAATTTCCTACATCGAACCGCTGTCCCTCCGGTTTCTCGGATTAGTTTTCCCATACCAGATCAAGATCAACATCCCTTTCTAATACGAATCGCTTAATCACAGCCCTCGACGCAATGGACAAGCTCAAGGCTCTCTTCAGGCGCAAGAAGGATAAGGAGAGCAGCGCTGCTGCTACCAAGACAGATACCAATGGTGCTGCTGCCACTGCGAAGCCGACAACTACAGACACCGCCGCCGCGCCCTCTTCCAGCGAGGCGGCCGCTCCTCCTGCCCGTGAGTATATCCCCCCGGTCGTCTCAAAGCCAGCAGTCCTGACTCTCTCTACACAGCCACCGGTACGACTGATGCTCCAGCGGCTACTGATAAGCCAGCCGATCCAGTTCCGGCCAACACTCCCGCTGCAACGTAGGGTGCGCCCAATGCAGACGGACACGATGCTTGATGGATGATTCAGAGCTCAACTTTCTCACACCATCCGCCGGTTGTCAAGATGCGCGCGACCGATATCTGGTCAAGCCTTAGGCCCTCGTTATCCACCCGGCTACTGCCTCCAAGCACCCTCACCGAGTCGGCCCATTTTTGCAAGTTTAGCACTGTCCTTCAGTTTTGTCCCCGAGCGTCTAATCACCCATTATACCCCTTTCTGACGCCACTACGAACCTTGCAAATTCGACGATACCCTTTGTTCTTCAACAATTCATTCCCTAAATCAGCAAACAAATGACCGCAGTTGGGCTAACGGGCCGGGAAGGATGGTCGGAGAATATTGCGTTTCGTGCACCCTTGAGCAATTGAGATACCCCCGCCGCATCTGTCTCTGACAAGCAGATAGCGAAGCAGCATGATCCGAGTTCAGAGATACCCCCAGGTCCTCCAGATAGTTGCTCTCCTTTTTCGGGCCTTTAGCATAGGAAACAACAATTGGCGTTTTCCATGATCATTAATTCCCATTTTCATATATGCTCCGAAAACCATGTGTCCAAAGCCTCATCTTCCAACGAAATGAATTGTAGATATACACTGGAGCCGCCTCTCCATGACAAGCAAAATCTCGCCATGATGACAGCGTTCTCTCAAAGTAATAATATCAATATGCCATGATCCGCACTCCCGTACCATAGCCTCTCAGCGACTCAAACATATTTCAGGCATCTCTCTTTTCGCAGGACGCACGTCAGTACTTCAGATCTTCCAGCACAAGATTAAACCAGAGAACATATCGTTGGCTGGTAACTCCATGACTTCTGATGAGCCGCTGTTGCCTTGGGCGGGAAAGCTCAGGCCAGCCTCTCTCTGAATCTGAAGAATGTGTCGTCGTCCTTATGAAGGAATGCCCTCGGTTCAGCCATGTATTACCCCTGCACCACGCTCTCATGTGATGGATGACTAAGGCCGACAACCTGCTCGGGTAAAATGACGCATGTGCATGAGGCCACAATTCTTCAGTGGGTGAGTTGATGGCTGTCAATCGCCGTTACGGCAAGTTGACGTCCAGCGTGACCAGGACAGAGTCTCCTCCAGACTTTCCACCATTACTGCTCATCCCAGTTCCGACAGAACTCTTACTTCGGAGAGACATGCCGCTCTTCGAGGTCGGTCGTGATGCTGGATATATCCGTATCGAGCGCTTTGACTTGTCCCCGGGGATGAGGGACAGGAGGATGTCTTGATGTTGGGAGGATGAGGGGTTGGTCGCGGTCTGTTCGCTGACACTGGCGTGGCTGAGGCCGTTGAGCTGCGGCGCAGACATGATCAGGGAGCGGTGGTGGTGTGGGAAGATCTCGACAATCTGGTCGCTTGCCCACCGGGCGATGCCGTCGAGAGCTTCTTGTTCGCGCTGAACTTCTTCCGGGCTCATCAGGTTTTGAGGGGGGACGCTGGATGCGCCCCACGTCCCATAGCTGTGGCCGGCTGGGTATTCATCGTAGAGAAGTCGGGTGCGGTCGGACTGTCGGTAATTGTCTGTTAGCAGACGGCAACCAAAAGGGAGCCGCGACATAGTTCACTTCGTGGCACGCGACGGGGTGCAAGTGTGTTGGCTACATACATCGTGATGACCGTGACGGCCGACGCCTAGACAGGAGAGGCAGACTCCCATACTGGCGGGAGATCGTTTGACATGAGAAAGAGAGAGGGGACCAAATGAGCATGGGCTATAACGATTGAGAGAGCGTGGTCATTTTGAACTTGCTATTACCATTCACCCAAGAAGCCTAAAGGACTTGATTGCTGAAAGCAGGTCAGCAGCAAAAGAGGGTGACACTGGGGACAATGGACCGAACCGCTGCTGGAAAAGTGACCAGACAGCCACGTCATAAAAGTATTTCCGTTCCGACCCCAGTTTTTCCGTCTCCTCATCTTTCAACCACCACTTGAGGTTGAGCACGTATTTCAGCGCTTCCTGTTTTCGACATTTCATCCTGTCTGGCCGCTGGTTGGTCATTTTGTTGCTCACATCATTAGGAGTGGAAAACCTCTTTGAAGACGATGTACGCTCATGTCCTGCGCCTGCGATTGTGACAGTTCCAGAAATGCCCTTTTCACTCCTACAACCGCGGAGTAGGGTATCTGCTTTTCTCTCGTTTCATCACGATATTTGCCTTGTCCTTGCTTTTCATGGTATCTCAAGGTAGGGCCATAGTGCTCAGGTCATCTCCTGTCTACCAGCTCGTGTTCCTTGCTCTATTGATGCTGCCACGAGGAGAGGGAATGCCACCCTTGACGCATCAGCGGAGCATTGCTCCGAGCTTGAAGGTCTGCTTTCGACCAATGTCTCCAGCTGAAACATGCCTTTGCTCATCAATCCACCCTTGGAATGCATTGTGTTAGCCTCTCAAGAATGCTATTGTTGGTATTGCTTGGGACGATCATCACCCTTGCGTCGGACATTGTCTTGCCAAGATGGGAATCTCATACTCTCTCTCTCCCGCGAGGCTGTCGCCTATGCAAAACCACCCCTTTCGCCATTCTGGCCAAAGTATTCGATTCAGGGATTTGCGAGACATTGCTGAATGGCTCCATGAACCAAAATTAATCTGAGTCATTAGTTCGAAGGTGGTATTTGCAATGTTGCTAAAAGGTTGGCTGAAGGTATATATACTTGCTATGGCTGTTCGACCTCGATTTTAAATTGTCCATCAAGCAGAGTCATTCTTTCTTTCCCTTTCAGTCACTCGTTAAAATTGTCACTCGTTTCAGTCCAGGTTTACAAGTCTTTGTTCAACATGCATTCTTCCTTGATTTCTCCGGCCTTGTGGTTGGGTATGACCACCATCTTTTCTGTTACCTCTGCTCAGGATTCTTCCTCCACTAGCGACGGAGCTTCGACCACCAGTGCCACGTCCCATTCGTGGCCTGCTGAGCCTTACCCTGGAGCAAGTATCTGGCTTGATTGGACCAGCTCGGCCAGTGTCAGCTCTGGCAGCAGCTCGGACTCCAGCTCGACTTCTTCCGCTTCGACCTCTTCGTCTATTGATGTGATCAGCACGACCCTTACCACGACTGATGGCATGACAACTAGTGCGGCCACGTCCTCAATCGAACAATCTGCAACCTCAACAACGGTCTCCAGCATCTCCACTTCTACCATTCGGGACTCGACCATTTCTTCTACCCTGTTCACCCGCTGGACTACGTCTGATGAGGGAAGGCCTGCAACCACTGCCACCACCTCCAGCTCAATGTCAGTTTCAGGCTCCATTACCAGCACAACGTCTACTCCTTCACCAAGTACATGCCCATATGTAGGGCTAAGCTTTGTGAGCCCAGACAATACGTGTGTGAGGTACGACTTTGTCTGTGAGCGCACATACGCCGAAACCAGTTTCCGAGGGAACTGGATCACCAGAGAAAGCCCCGAGTTGTGCGCTCGTCGCTGCGATAACGCAAACCAGAACCAGGGTGCCGGGTACTGCATGGGTGTGGTTTTCAATCCTACATCTGCAACCAACAACTGCAGAATGCTAAAGAATCTCAACAACCCTCTCCATGACTCCGACACTATCGCTCTCCTACTCTACCGCGATCCAAATTGTGACAGGGTTGCCGAATCTACTACATCCACAACTGAGAGTTCTACCACAATTTCGACTTCGACTTTTAGTAGCTCTCTTAGTTCAGTCACGACCAAATCTGCGAGATTTTCGTCCACTTCGCCCTCGTCCTCAATTGGCTCTACTGCGACTCAGACTCCAGACACCTCCGCGAGCTCAAGCTCCATCACAACAACCTCTGGGAGCACAATCACAGGCGGTCCTGATACAACTTCTGTGACCTGGTCCTCACGCAGCCGCCGCCCTTCTGGCTCTTATAGCCACACCTGGGGCAGCAGCCATTCCAGATGGTCTGCTTCCTCTAGCAAACACTTTACTACAGCCGATCCCTCCATGACGGGTTCTCATGCCACCACAGCCACGACAAGCACAAGCTTCGGTTCCAATGATACATGGACTAGCTCTTCTACAACATCGACTATAGCAGATGGAACCTCTACTTGGGCTAGCAGCACAAGTGCTTCTCCAAACGCAACTACCAGAACTTGGTCTCACACTTCCGCGACGACGCGGCCCACCACTTGGACGTCATCCCTCAACTCGACTTCTACTGCGTCCCCTGCGACTACGACTTCGTTTGTTGACCCTAGCACAAGCTCCATCGCCGCAACAGCTACCACTACAACGAGCAGTAGCTGCCCAGCCTCAGCCACGACAGTGACAGTCACCATCTCTGGAGGCCCTGCAAGTGTTACCGGTCCCATGATCACTGTTACAGGAACCGTCACAGAGACACGCACCATAACGAGGACGACCAAAACCTTCACTACATCGACTGGTACCCGGACGCGCTACACAACCACCACGGAAACCGACACTGCAACCACTACCATCACTTCGTCCACGACCACAACCATCACTGCCACAGTCACTACAACGCAGACTTTTGGCCAGCGCTGGGGAAGGATCCATTGGTAAGTCAAGAACTGGGAGGCGATGACCGATGAATCTCCCGGCTTGTCTTAACAGAACTGTCCGCTCGCGAGGGCAGCCAATTTCCGGCTCTGTCAGGGGTCCCTCTGCATGGGAGGCATAAATATGAGGATGGAGATCCTGGTGACGACAACGTTGGCTATCAAACAAGTTACTGCTGTGTCATCTAGAACAAGCTTGTCTCCGACCGAGTATTTTCGTCTCGGAAAGTTCTTTCTTCTCTACCTAGATTTCTCTCCGTCTAGTCTAATGCAGCAGTTTTCAAAATCTAATTCCCTCTTTATAGCATGAATCATAACTTGGACGCCCTTGCGGTGGCTTTCCTCGACCAGATCTGCACGTCCTTGTCTTCAATGTAGTTGGCCGGGAAGTACTGTGGTCCGAGAGTCTTCTTCACCACCTTCCCCGTCCCGCTCTTGGGCAGCTCGCCCTTGATGATCCTCAGCAGGGTCGGCAGCTTGTACCCGGCGAGACGATCGCGCACATCGGCACGCAGATCGTCCAGACTCAATCTGTCGGGGTCTCTGTTGTTCTGCCTGTAAAATTCCTGGGCTACCTCGTCGTTGCGCAGGGATATGACCGCGCCGACGCGCTGCCCGAATTCCAAGTCGGGCACACCTACCACCATGGCCTCGCCGATGTACGGCAAAGCCATCAATTCTCGCTCAATGTCCAACGCCGAGATCTTGTACCCACCGGATTTGATGATGTCGACAGAGGCGCGGCCGACGATGAAGTAGTACTTTCCTTCTCGACGGGCCACGTCGCCGGACTTGAAGTAGCCGTCGGCGTCGTGCGCGTTTGCCGTGGCTTCGGGATCGTGCAGGTACTTGGAGAACATGGTGAAGGACTTGACGAGGATTTCGCCTTCGTCTCCCTCGGAGAGCTTCACGTCCACGCCATAGGTCAGTTCGCCCACGGAGCCATCGGGGATGTCCTCGCTGGGGTCCGCGGGCATGTTGAAGACGACCCCTAGCTCGGTCGATCCGTACCGCTGTACAATTCGCCTACCGAGGAGGTTTGTCCAGAAGTCATTGATCGGTTTGGGCAAGGCGGAGGTGCCACACAAACACATTTTGAACGCGGCGGCGGCGGCTTTGTAACCCGCTGCCTCATTCGGGGGGAGTTTCGCAATGCGCTCCTGGTAGTACCGCATCATTCTCATATATATCGTCGGTACACCCGTGAAGTGCGTCAGCCCACCTTGCCGCCACCGATTCCACGTCCATTCTGGATCGAAACTGCCAGACTTGAACTCAATGCAGGCGCCCGTCTGGATGAAGGGGAAGAATGACACCCAAATTCCAGTGGCGTGGTGAACGGGAAGGAGATGGAGAAGAACATCGGTTTCCTGTAGGCCTATCTGCTGTGCAAAACACATCGACCCATCCACCATGGCAGCGCGACGGAGCACGCCTCCTTTTGGTGGGCCGGTGGTGCCAGAGGTAAAAATGACCACACCCGGGGCATTGGGATCTAGGTATCGGTTGGAGGAGATCTTGATATCGTCCAGTGCAAAAGGTGGCTCTTGCTCGATCACTTTGATGGGCACACAGGCAAAATCGGGATTTGTCGTGCTACGGATCTCGCGTGCAACCTCCCCACCAAGCTGTAGAGCTGGCGTCGCCGTGACGAGAGCGACCGACCTCGCCTTGTTGACATAGTAGCAACCTTCCTTGACGGGCTGAGCGGTGCTGAAGGGCGAGGCGGCAGCACCCAGGGCCAGGATGGCCAGTACACCCACCACAAATTCATAACCCCCGGGTGCCACTAGACTGACATAGACTTCTCGCCCATTCTGCAAGTCTTGGACGTTTTCGTGTGTCAAGGAAGCCTTCAACACCCGGCGAAGGACGAGGACGTCACTCAGGAGCTGGGCGGCTGTCCTTTCGATCCCTGCATTGACATCGCGTATCGCCGGCCTGGGATTGGGGCGATGTGCAAGGGTGAGCAGGCGGTTGAAAAGGGGGTCGGCGGGAAGAATGTGGTCGGCCGAGTGACTTGGGACGAAGTCGGTTCTATCGAAAGGCGGCGGCGGCGGCGGTTGTTGCTGCTGCTGCTTCATCGCTTTGGATTTTTTTGTTTCTCCTGTTTTGTCACACCACCGTCCGCATCTTGCGGCTCTTGGGCAGCTGCTCGTGCGGCCCCCGGCACTTTTTAAAGTCAGTTTTGGGGGGAGATTCAGCATGCGGTTTGAACACTCCAAAGGAAAAAACGCCGAGTTGGCCATCCGCGGCGATTGTGCGCAGGCAGCCTCGGCAGTTTGGCTGCGATGAGGGGAGAAGTTGTCATTGAACTGTGATCGAACCACAAACTTCCGAGATACTGACGGCCTTTTGCCTAGATATCCGAGTATTTCTTGACCGAGTCCCTTCTTCATTCTCGACCTCACACCTCGCGGTCTGGTCATCCCTCAGAAGAACCATCCTGTGGACGTTGTTGCAAGTCCCTGTCTACC